AAAAAAAAAAAAAAAAAAAAAAAAAAAAAAAAAAAAAAAAATAAAGGAAGATTTTGTTAATTTTAGTATTATAAAAATATGATAAAAATTGAATTAGCTTCAAATTTAATAAATTGAAAATTTTACTTTGTCCGCGATAAACTTTTCTGATATTGCCATAAAATAAACTTTCATCACAAAATTTTTTTCACGAATTGATACACATTGTTATCGTGGAATAATTCATCATAAATTAGATATTAAACTGGGTAACCATCAACTTGTAGTAGCACTTGTTCCTATTTCTCGCTTCTCTATTCGTCTTTTCTCCCTGTATCTAAGTCAAAATCTTTAGTAGAGATAATTACACTTAAGATTATCATAATAGCCCTAGATTAGGAATTAGAGGTTACAATCATTGCTCGCTTAGTATCTTCCATTAAATATGAGACTGCACCTCAATATTTATTAGAAATTTTCTTAAATTTGTCTAAAAATTACTTAGCAATAAGAGAACTCAAAACACACTATTATTACAAAAGATGATTTATTTATCATCATAGTATATATGTGCACAAATGCTCATATAAGTAAAATGTGTGGTTGTATTACATGTCAGGCTACAAAGGTAAGTATGCGGTATATAACAATGCCACAATAGTGAGCTTCCCAAGGGATTGAGCTTGCGTTTGGGAGCGTAGAGAAAGGGATGAAAAGACAGAGATAGGATGAGATGGTAAGGGAACACGCGAGAAAGAGGAGCTACGATAATGGCCCGGGAGCTAGACACACAAATCACGCGATCCCACAGGCTACGTCACACTCTCTTTCTCTACTTCCTCGTCTTTGCTAAATTTATTTGCCTCCGTTATTCATGCTACAATCGATGCCTTTTCTCTGTTTTTATGCATCAAATACCATTTTCCCCACCCCGATATTTTTAATAATAAAAATTCAAACTAGGATCAATAAGACCATAACTTTTCTCTATTTTTATACCAAACAAATATTTTTGACATTTCTATTGTCGAGAAATTCATTTCCGCCATTGCAAAAATACTTATTATACAATTGTAAAACGAAAAAATATGTATGTGTATCAGAGTACACAGGTAAGAAGTAAAACTTCTTTATGACACATCATTTTTCTACTATTTATAACTTCATGGAAATTGGGTAGATAAAGCTTAAGAAAAAAAATTTTTTCCATATTAAATTAAAGATATTTCAATATTATAATAATCATGCATACAGATAATAAGAGTAATTCTTTTTATCATTGCTCTTATGATAATTATTGTATTTCATCGCATTATAATTAACATTGTTGTCATTATTTAGACTATGCCATTATTTAATCTAAAAATTATTTAATCAGTTTATAAAAATTATATAAAAAACATTAATATTCAAATCTTATGTCATAACATAGTAAAAATAATTAAAAGCAGATATTTAATAACTTACACACTGTTTGATTTTTAAATTATTATTTAATTTGTTGTTTTAATTGTTTTTAGAATTAATAATAATTGCTATATTAATTCTTTACGTCGCTATACGAAGCTTCGATAGAAATAAACAACATGGCGCGTAACCGAAAATCGTGACGATTTTTTTTATATTGCTATAAAATTTCTCTCATACGTCGATAAAGAAGTTTTACTTCAATAATAAAGAAACAATTATTAGTATAATAATTAACTAGTAAACGAATACACAACCAATAGGGCGTGTATTCTTTCTCGATATCCCGTATTCTCTCTCTCTCTTGTTCAATCTTTCTCACTATAGCTCTCTCCCACCTCACACTCCATAGCACTATGCGTGATACGACGTTCGCTCTGTCTCACTTTTTTTCTCAATCTTTCTCACTGGCTTGCTCCCTACTCTCACTCCACGGCTAGTTGCTCATGCTACGTTCGCCCTGTCTTACTCTCTCTCAATCGGTCTCGATCACTCTCTTTCTCTTTTCCGACACTTCCGTTGCATACCGGCGTGACGTTTAATCTGTAAAAATTTTACCCTAATGCGCCTAAAGAAGTTTCACTTCAAAAAATTCTTTATTAAAATAAATTCCACGAGCTATTTATCTAAGAAAAACCGTGGCACTCACCCTGGTCTAAGACGTAAATCTACGTTGTCCGTCGATTGGCCACACCCGGTCGTACTCGGCTTCCACGTCGAACGATCTCGGACAATCACCATCCTCGGCAAGTATACGTGCTGATTTTTCGTCACTTGCACACGTCAACTAGCGATCATCCAAATAAAACGTCATAATAGATCACGCTTCTATTAAATAAATAATTGGCGACAGCCAATTATCATCGTAATGCCGTAATAAATTTTTGGCAAACACAATCGCAATTAAACACAATTATCAACATAAAGCACACTACGTTGTGGCTAATTAAAAGAAATACTCAGATTTCAAACGCAAGAAATTACAAAAGTATTCTTTGTGATAAATCTCAAAAATCAGGCAGTAATGAAAAAAAATAACCAACAAATTCTTCAGAATAGAAAAACGTGTCCGCACGTGGCAAATCGAAAACGTGGAAGAAGTAAAAAATTAAGCACATGTCGCATTCCTCGTCTTTCCCCTCTTTGCTGGGTTCGTCGTTAGCTTTGAACTCCAGAGATGGCGCCGCAAGTCCAATTTCCCAATATCGACGTTTTGAGTGATGTATTGGCTGGAGCATTGGCGCGCTCGAGAGCCAGTTTTCCGCCTTCACGCATGCGTCGATTGCTCACTTCGAGTTCCTATAAGTCCGTCGTTCCAGCTCGTTCTCGAGACAGCCATCCGCCCGTCGTCGATGATCTTGTAGAGAATCCACGTCGGTAATCCTCGTTGGTCTCTCTTCGCGGGTTCGTGACCGGTCATAAGTACCATTCTTACAATTACAATTACTTAAAACTAACTTATTTGCTAAATTAAAATCTTAATCCCAATAAATTTTTGTTTCGCGCGCAATCGAGCTTCGGTCGCATTTTCTTGCGCTAGGGCGACTCGGTCGCAGCGAATCCAACCAATGGACAAAAATTATCTTTAGCGCTCAATTTAAATTTTCTTTTAAACATTTTTAAATTCGAAAAAATTAAAATTATCAACAATAAAAAAAAACGTCTTAACAGGTGGCGCTAAAAGCGGCCTGTTACAACACCTCCCCCCAGCCGTCGACCAGGAGCCCATGGTTTCGTCTAGGTACCGCTTGGACCAACACAACTACCATTTGAACCAACAGCAACCTAAACTACCCATCACCAGCAATATGACCACAAATAAGTTCTCATTCAATTCCAAAATAAACAGTTTTTATTTATTACATGCCTCCGCTTAGCGGCATGTGCAACACTATCGCCGTTCGGCGTATTCAGTCAGCGCCTTCGGCGCGTATTAGTCGTCTCCTCGACGAACAACAATGATTAATACAACATAGCAAACTCATAAAATAAAACTTCAAACTAAATAATAAAAAAATAAAAAAAATTAAAGTACAAACAAAAACTAAAATGTAAGGAACAGCGGCGTCGTCTGCTTCGTTCGCGACACCTACTGGCGTCGTGGACCGTCGATTGGGCAGTCGGGTTGGCACCGGCGACACTCCTCGAAGTACACTCCAATCTCCCCGCGTCTTACGACGTCTCCTACCGCAAATCGTTCATCTCGGTGATGACGATTATAGTATCTAGCTTGGCGTTCAAAACTTCGACCTAAATTATCTGCAACTAAGTCGTGTAATTGCATTAAACGTCCAATACGGTCTAACCACGCCGCAGTATCAGGACACGGAATGTCCGTCGCACCTTCGATTAACTTTCGATGATATTTCGGCGCACGCGGTTGCCACCCGTAATTCAACATCGCTGGGGAAACATGCAGCGAACTATTTACAGCTGTATTATATGCATGCCTAAACTCATGGACGTGTTCGTCCCACGCTCGATGATCTAACTCAACAAAAGATATGATCATTGTCTTAAAAACGCGATTTACGCGTTTGACGGGATCCGCTTGCGCGTGATACAGCGGTGTCCGAGAATGATGAATACCATAAGCTTTTGCTACCTCATCTACCAGCTTATTCACAAACTCTGTGCCGTTATCAGTCAAAATCACTTTAGGACATCGGAAACGATGAACGACGAGTTTATCAAACTCCCGAATTATCGTCGGTCCATCGGCCTTTTTAATTGGGCATAATTCAATCCACTTCGTGAATAAATCTTGGAACACCACCATGTATTTACATTTTGCATGACTAAGTGGAAATTCCATACAATCCATAGCAACCACTGTCCATGGTGTGTTTACAATTCGTCGACACATCAGCCCAGGAGCTGGTTGTTGCGACACCTTCGACGTCTGGCAAACATCGCAATCCGCAAAGTAACGTCGGACATCTTCTTCCAGTCCTGGCCAATAATAATCGACTTTAATTCGTGAAACCGTCTTCTCAATGCCTAAATGACCTGCATCAGGTGGATCATGGTTTTCTTCGATGATTTCCTGATGTGCGGCTTTTAGTGGCACTAATTTCCAGGCATCCAAGTCCTCAACGACGCTCGATACAAGAGAATTCGGCATATGTCGGTACAACCGTTCTTCCTCGACACGCCAAACCTTGAACTTCGTCAGAGAAGCTATGACATCGCGTTTTCGTCGCGAATACCAATCATCAACTACTTCAGCAGCAGGTATTTTGTCAGCCTGCTCAGGCAATTCATCAATTGCCATGATTTTATCGCAATATTCCAGTTCGTCAGGTTTAAACATTCGTGATAACGCGTCAGGAACGTCGTTCAATGAACCCTTTCGATACTCGATCGGAAACTGATACTTGGCTAAACGCATCGCCCATCGACTCAATCTCGGCGTCTTACTATTCAAATCACGCAACCAACGAAGACTGCTGTGATTAGTAATAACTTTAAATCGATATTCTCCAAGATATCGTCGAAAATGCTCACACGCCCAAAGAACTGCGAGGCACTCGCGTTCGGTCACTGAATAATTTCGCTCAGCTTTATTCATGACGCGACTCGCGTAGGCTACAACTCGCTCACCATCTTCATGTTCTTGAGTCAAAACAGCTCCAAGAGCAGTCGCGCTCGTGTCAGTCTGCAACACGAACGTCTTCGAATAATCAGGACACGCCAGCACTGGTGCTGACGCCAAAGCCAGTTTCAACGCTTCAAAAGCCGTTTCTTGCTCCGCGGTCCAGATCCATCTGACCTTCTTACTCGTTAACGGCGTCAATGGCTCGGCTATCGTCGCAAAATCAGGTATAAAACGTCGATACCACGAGGCCATTCCTAAAAATCGTCGCATTTTCTTCAACGTCGTCGGCCTCGGGAACTCAAGCATCGGTTTTATACGCTCTTGATCCACTAGTAAACCCTTCTCGTTCACGCGATAACCCAAATAACGAACCTCATTCGTACAAAATTCACATTTATCAGCATGTATGTTCAAATTCGCGGCCTTAAGACCGTCAAATACTTCATCGAGCACTTCTAAATGCTCCTCAAACGACTCGGTAACTATTATCAAGTCGTCAAGGTATCCAAATACCTTTAAACCACGTCTTTATCCCAACATTTTGTCTATTAGACGCTGGAAATGCGGCGGCGCTCCAGCAAGGCCAAACGGCATGCATACATACTGGAACATACCCCTTCCGGTTACACAAAACGCCGTATACTCTCGACTTGCCGGGTCGAGTTTCACCTGATGGTACGCATGTTTCAAATCTATCTTTGAAATAAACTTCGCACTACTCAATTGGTCCAAGATCCATGTCATCAGCGGCAATGGATACGCACACGGCTTCGAAACGGCATTTAATAGTCGGAAATCCAGGCACATTCGGCACTCCCCTGTCGCTTTCTTTACCATGATGACTGGATTGCACCAAGCACTCGTCGAAGGCTCAATTATGCCCGCCGCAAGTAGATCGTCTACCTGCCGGCACATTTCTGCCTCAATATTCGGAGAAGTTGGGTAATTACGCTGTCGAATCGGTCATGACCCTGCACGTCGATTTCATGGGTCATCAGATTCGTAAACGTCGTCTCTCCTGTATAATTCACGTCAGGCAATCGTCGTGCCAGCAATTCGTCTAACGCTGACTGCTGATCCAGGGTTATCTCAACTATGGCCGCTTTTTTCTCCTCGATGAGGTAATCTTTCGCGTTCCAATCGTAGATTTCGCCCTCGCGTCGAGTCCACCATCGCTCTGAACCCCCGTAGTAGCAAATACCAAAAGCAATTATCGCATCCATGCCTAGTATCATCTCGTACTTCAACTCCGGGATGACACGAACCTCAATCGGCACGATTTCGTCGTTAATCGCAAGTGGCAGCGTAATCAGCGATTGCACTGACATCATCGAACCGTCAGCAACTGCTGCTGAATTTCGAGGTGCTGGTCTCACTCGAGCACCGCACCCATAGACCCAATTCAACTCGTCAACTTCCCTGACGCACGTCATCGTCGAACCGGTATCTAATAAAGCCTTAATCTCCCTTTCACCTATCTTAACATCTATGAAGGGTCTTACATCGTCGTCCTCTGGCTGCATAGGACATACTTCCTCGGCTAATTCAAGAAAAATTCGCTCACGCTCATCAATCGGTACGCAGATCCACTGGTGGATCGGCCAATCAGTTTCTTGATGTTCGCGCGAGCAGTAAAACGCATTCTAGCACCCCAAACATCGCCATAATTTGCCTTCTACGCCACAAATGCCACAGAGGTGACGTTGTCGCAAAAGGTATTCATCTGTTATCGTCGGTGGTTTCACGTCACATCAAGGTGGGGAACCAGCATCCGAGGACTGGTTCACGGGCCCGCAAGGCTCGATGTCGATGTTAAATATGTCTGGCAGCGGCTTGTTCGACATGTTGACTTCAACATCAATCATCGGCCCATTTACTTCGCAGGAAATCAGTTCTGGACCCGTCCTTACCGATTCCCGACGTCGTTTTCCGGCCTGTTGTACTCAAAAAACATCATGCAACACGTGCATCCAGGCGTTGGTTCTGTTCGCGTTCCACAACCGAAGCAGAACTTCACTTGTCTTGCCTCGAGACAATTACGCCATCCGTGATCCGTCGAGAAGCAATTGAAACATTTGCCCCAAAGATCACGACATACCGGCGACTTGGGTTTACCCTGCTTCGGGCTTGATCGGCCATTCGAGGGGCCTTGGTAACCTCGATGAGCTCCATTGTTGTTTAGAGGCCCTGAGGGCGGCCCTCGGTTCACGTTCGTCGCCGCTTGTAAATTTATCGCGGCAACCTGATCATCTGACTGATCCGCATTGTTCGGTTTGTTCACTTTATTCGGCTTCTTTTTATTTTTCTTCACCTCCTTGGAGGAGTTCGATACAGCAGCAACCTGACCAACAGTACGTCGCTTCGATTCGTACTTGTCAGGTTGGTAGGCGTACTCTGGAACGACGCTCTGTTCCACGGGTACTGGCTCACGTCGTTGAATACGATTGCGGGGAATATCAACCGCTCGTACGTGCTCATATAACTCGTCGAAGTTGTTAAAATCGTATCGCTCGATTTTCTGATGGTATTCCGGGCGTAAACCATTGTATGCGAAGTCCAATTAATCCTTCAACGGCAATGGATCGTCTACTTGCGACCACAGCGCGATCACGGCGTCTGGGAAGTCTAATCCCATCCCAAGCTTCATTTAAGTACGCGTAATAACTTCCCATTTTATCCTACAACCGACCGATGGCTCTCCAAAACGTCGACGCAACTCGGATTTGAACTAGGAATACGATGAAACACGACGTTTCATGTGTGACCACCACGTTTTGGCCACATCTGATAGCAATAACGGTAGTACTGCCAACGCATCCGCATCCGTCATACCACACGTCGTCAAACATTCATCCAACCGATTCAAAAACGATTCAACGCGCGCGCTACCTAACCCGGAGAACTTCAAGTTCCATTTTGACACTCTCTCATACATCGCGGGTTGATAATGTGGTCCACCACCCATTCCAGACAGTACACAGTGCTCACTGTGTGAATGCTGAGGTGAATTCGCACCCAGTGGTGCAAAAGTCACATTATATGCCGGCAATTGTGTCGAATTTGCTGTAGGCCGTAGAAGTCCCTGATTTAAAAGATTTCGTCGCCTAGGGCTCGGGGTTGGACGCTCTAGCGGCACTGATGTCATTCTCGGGCGTTGATTGTTCACCCCGTGGTGCGCCATGTATGTGGTACGTCCGTTGACATCCACATGTACTGCTCCTGGAGCTAATGTCGTCCAGGTCGTCGTTGTGTTGCTCACGGTCGTCGCCGTGATAGTTGTCGACCGCGGTATCGTGTTGTTCGCTGTCGAACAACCTGTAAGTGCGGTAGAGCAAGGCGTTATCCTCGATTGACGTCGTTGCTCTCGCTCAAACGCATTCAGGACCTGTCTGTCTGGTATCGCCTGGTCCTCTCGAGTCCAGACTGTGTTCGGAAACCGCTTCAGACGCAAACACCGATGCAGTCGGTCGCGAATAACCGCATTACTACATATCGGGTTGGCATTCATCGTCACGAGGATTTCCTGCACCTGCAGAGGTGACGCATCCGCGATCCAGTCATACTGCCCGCTTGATTCGCTTGATCCTCCCATCGACCTATGACGTTCTTCAATCGCGGCTAGCTCGTCCTGAACTACACCATCACGGATTGCCAGCTGCGCGAGCTGATCAGCCAAGTTGCGCTGAGCCGCTTCTAGCCGCAGTCGTTCCGCGCTTATCTCCTCCCTGCGCGTCAAATACCAATCGTATGTCTCATTTCCATCAATGACATTCGGAGGTACCTGAATACGACGTCTAGATGGCAATGGTGGGCCGTATACATTGGCACTGCTCGGCGTAGTTGTAAAATTCTGTGACACGATGTGTATCGGACTACTTGTCTGTACCGTAGTACTCGTTGTGGTCGTCACCTGCCCTGTAAATGTTGTCACAATATTCCCTTGACTCGTTCCCGGAACCTCCACGGGATTCGTCGTTCTAAACACGCCATCTGGGGTATTTTGTTGCGTTGAATTATTTATAATCTGGTCCCATGTCACTAAGGAATCATTCCCCATACCCTCCGTCGGTGTTAACCTCCCGCTTCGCTCACTCATACTGCCGATTAACTAACCTACGTTCTAATATAATTTAACGCGTCGTAATTTGCCCTTTTGTGGGCCCCACGTTGGGCGCCAAATTATATAACGGGTAATTTCGTACTCGTGCGTTAGCGAGGACGAAGCCCGAAATAAATAACCTGGCCTACCTGCTTTACCTGTTATTGGGCGCCAGGAGCTTTGCTCCAATCACGTCAATGTCCGGCTACTCCGGTCCGGGACTCCTTTCGTCGGGTGGCGGGCCTTAAGGGTACGACTTAATTATATAGGAACGAGGAAAATATTCGGGGCTACTCACATTGATTCGCAATTAAATTAAAAAAATAAATTATTAATTTATTAACAATAAATTCAAATAGTTGTTCAATATTAACAAAATAAAAGAATTAAACGCAAAAATAATAGTCGTCGACGATCTCGTCGATACGCCGTCGATACGCAGTTTCGCAAGACAACAACTTCAAACTTTTTCCAAAAAAAAA